ATTTGAGAGGTAGTTGTTTGTCATCTTGGAAGGCCCTCTTTTCCTTTTATTATGCTTTGTTCTATTTAAGATGCAAAGACATTTCAGACTTGTATTTATCTTCTGAATTTTGCATTTACATTATTGTCTTGTACATGTGCCAACCAGATTTTTGGGGTGTTGTATAGAATAAATAAGTTTTCCACCTTTATCTTTTTGTTGCTTTATTTACTTTCGCGTTTCTTTCATTTTTATTTGGTTGAGGCTGACTTGTCTTGGTGGGAATATTCAAGTGTCATCACCTCCATTTTTGGGTCGTGAAAATGGTAACAAAGCTAGGTTCATAGGTCTCATTGTGTACAATTCAAGTCTAAGCAGAGTCTCAAGGATTGATACAGAGATGTATGTACATATATTCAACAGGATATGAAGAATGTTAGGAGACTTTCTTTTCTTTATTCTTTCTTATCATGTGTGGTTGCCTTCACTAGTCTTGAGTTACCGCATGTTATTTTGGCAGATGCCGAGAACCAGAGCTTCTGTTTCTAGTGGTAGAGGGGAGGTAGTCCCCGAGGTTGTTGTTGAGACCCCAGCTAGGGGTATAGGTAGGGCCAAAGCTAGAGGTCGTGCTCGTGGAGTAGCATCTGCTAGAGGTCATCCCTATAGAGCGGCACCAGCCAAAGGCAGAACTAGTGAGGCGTCACCTGAGCCACCGGTTGAGGTTGCTGAGGAATAGGTTCCTTTTGGGTTTATATCTTCCTTGTTTCAGTAGATTTTGTTGAGGATGCTTGGTGTGATGGAGAACTTCTCTAAATGTGGTGCGACAGGTACACCATATGGTTCTCAGATTAAATTAGGAGTGCAGGATTCAGGACAGCAGTAGAGTCCAGGTATTTAGGATCATGTGGGTCACCCACTAGTGGTTCTTGCACCGGTTGTGTTGATATTGCTCCTGGTGTTATTCTCAGAATAGTTGAGCAGTACTGCTATGAGAGGTTTCAGAAGATGAAACCACCCTCGTTTCAGGGTGGTAAGAGCGAGGATGTTTATGAGTTCTTGACTTTTTCTCCATGAGATGTTTGAGGTAGTGGGTATGGTGGATGCTCGTGGTGTTTGTTTTGTTGCACTTATAATGTGTGTACGCGCTAGAGAGTGGTGGAGGACTTTTGGGAGGTCTAGACCCATTGGGTCTCCTCCAATAGAGTAGGATGTGTTCTCTAGTGATTTTCTAGGACCTCTTCATTCCTTGGAGTGTGAGGGAGGAATGTCGACTGAGGTTTGAGGACTTGAGACAAGGCAGTTTTTCTATGACTGAGTATGAGGCTTGTTTCTATGAGCTTTCTAGACATGCTATGATTATTAATCTAGATGAGAAAGAGAGAGTTCGTAGGTTTATGAGTGAGTTGTCTTTCTCTACAAATTTATATATATTCTGAGTTGCTAGAGAGGGGGCTTCCTTCTAGTTTATTGTGAGCATTACCAAGGAGGCAGAGCTGATGCTTGTAGAGCAGTTTTGAGTGCCTAAGAGGGCCTGTTCGTCTAGTCAGTTTTTGGTGCCTCATCTGGAGGCAAGGGTTCACACCAAGGTAGTGGCTCCTTATAGTGTCATGCGTCAGTTCATACGTCTATGCTAGCAGCTGAGAGTGGTCAGTCAACTTGAGGATCTTGTGGTTCTAGTTGAGGTGGCCATGGTAGCTTATCTGGTTCATAACAACTGTTATTTGTGTCGAGGTCTTGCAATGTTTGTGGGGATCTAGGTCATATGATTTAGAAGTGTCCTCTACTAGCTCACTCAGGACCCCAACATACCTATTCAATTGCTCTAGCTAGAGAATCAGCACCTCCGAACAGGAGTCGAGGCAAAGGTCAGACCGGTAGAGATGGTAGGACTTCTGGTAGGGGTGCTAAAACTCCACAGGGTAGAGGTCGGGGTTCTACTTATATTTCAGGTGGCTGAGAGGGCTAGTGTTTTGATTTTCTAGGGAGACCTAAGGCTGAGACTTCTGAAGTTGTGATCACAGGTATTGTCCCAGTTTTCCATCGACCTCCGTCTGTATTGTTTGAATCGAAGTCTACTTTATCTTATGTTTCTACTAATTTTTTCTGTTGGGTTTGATATGATGTGTGATTGCATAGATGTGCATATTCATGTTTCTACACGAGTGGGTGAGTCCTTAGTGGTGGATCGAGTGTATTGATCTTGTATTGTTTCTTTTACTAGGTATGGTACTTGGGTAGACATCATTTAGGGGATGGTAGACTTTGATGTTATTTTGGGTAAGGATTAGCTCTCCCTGAATCATGTGATTCTTTATTTTTATGTTAAAACTGTGACTTTAGCGATGACAAGTGTCCCAAGAGTTGAGTGGATGGGTGTTAGTGGTTCTTACCCTATAAAAGTTATCTCATTCATTTATTCGAGCTCCGAAATTTGTTGATAGAGGGTGTTTATACTATTTGTCTTTCATTCTGCATACTACTGTAGAGACACCTCCCATGAATTTTGTGCTTGTGGTTTGAGAGTTTTCGTATATTTTTCCTACCGGTCTTCCATGTGTTCCGCTGGACAGGATATAGATTTTGCCATTGACTTGGAGTCGGGCACCAAGCTCATCTCTATTCCTCATTATCGTATGGCTCCAGCTGAGTTGAAAAAACTGAAGGATCAATAACAGGATTTGTTGAGTAAGGGGTTCATTCGCCCTAGTGTTTCTCCGTGGGGTGCTCCTATGTTGGTTTTGAGGAAGAAGGATGGATCTATGAGGATGTGAATTACTTATCGATAGTTGAACAAAGTGACCGTGAAGAAAAAATATCATCTTCCTCATATTGATGACTTGTTTGATCGCCTCAGGGTGCACCTTTATTTTCTGAGATTGATTTGAGGTCCGACTATCATCAGTTGAAGATTAGGGTATGAAATATCCCTAAGACAACTTTCAAGACTCGTTATGGACACTATGAGTTTCTTATGATGACTTTCAGTTTGACTAAAGCCCCTGAAGCGTTCATGGAGTTGATGAATGAGGTGTTTCGACCTTATTTGCACTCTTTTGTGATAGCTTCATTGATGACATTTTGGTGCACTCCAAGACTGAGGAGGATGATCGGCACTTGAGGATTGTGCTCCAGATATTGAGGGAAGAGAAGGTATATGACAATTTCTCAAACTGTGAGTTTTAGCTTGATTCAGTTGCATTTTTCGGACAAGTGGTGTCCAGGGAGGGTATTTGGGTAGATCCAGCCAAGATTGTGGCAGTTAGAGATTGGACCAGACCCATATCAATTATTGAGATTCGGAGTTTTATGGGACTTGTAGGCTATTACTTGTGATTCATTCAGAGCTTCTCCACTACTGCATCTCTTTTGACCAGATTAACTTGAAAGAGTGTCAGCTTCCAGTAGTCTGACAAGTGTGAGGAGAGCTTTCAAAAGCTCAAAACCTTGTTAACTTCAACTCATGTTTTAACTTTACCCGAGAAGGGTGTAGACTTCACTGTGTACTGTGATGCTTCTGGAGTTGGGTTAGGAGGTGTTCTAATGCAAAAAGGTAAAGTGTTTGCCTATGCTTCTAGACAGTTGAAGACCCTTGAGAAGAACTACCCTACCCATGATCTTAAGTCAACAGTTGTGGTGATAGTGTTTAAGCTATGGCGACATTATCTATATGGGGTTGATTGTGAGGTCTTCACAAACCATCGGAGTCTTCATTGCATCTTCAATCAGAAGGATCTGAACTTGAGGCAACACAGATGGCTTGAGCTAGTAAAGGAATACGATATCACTATTTTGTATCATCCAGAAAAGGCCAATGTAGTGGTTGATGCCTTGAGAAGGAAGAGTTCTAGCATGGGGAGTCTATCTATCAGTATTGAGGAGACACCATTAGGTAGAGATGTTCATAGGTCATCCAACAGTCTCATCCAGTTGTGGATTTCTGAGGAGACGGGTGGTTTGATTACTTTTATTGAGGCTCGTTTTCCTTAGTTGAGAAGATTCGAGAGCACCGATTTGATGATGATAAGTTATGTCTCATTTCAGACAAAGTATTTAGAGGGGAAGCCAAGGAGGTTGTCTTTGATTCTAATGGTCTTTTGAGGATTGGAGGCTGGATTTTTGTGCCAAAGATAGGAGAGTTGATTAGATTGATTCTTGAGGAGGCCCATTGTTCTCAATATTCTATTCATCTAGGAGCGGCAAAGATGTATCATGATCTTACTCAACATTATTGGTGATGGGGAATGAAAAGGAATATTGCAGACTTTGTTACTAGGTATTTGACTTGCTAACAGGTCATGTGCGAGCACCAGCGGCCGAGAGGTTTATCTCAAAGGATGTCTATTCCTATTTGGGAACAGATCACTATGGACTTTGTTGTGGGATTTCCTACTACAGGGTTATGACTCCACTCGAGTGGTTTTTGATAGGCTAACCAAGTCTTCCCACTCCATCCCAGTTCAGGTGAAGTATATGGTAGAGAAGTTAGTCAAGCTTTATATCATCCTCATTGTGCGACTACATAGAGTCCCAATTTCTATTGTCTCTGATCGAGGTTCCTTGTTCACTTCCCATTTCTGGAAGCCTCTGCAGCATGGTTTGGGTACTCGGTTAGATATGAGTACAACATTTCACCCTCAAAAAGATAGTCAGTTTGAGCATATGATTCAAGTGTTGGAGGATATGCTCTGAGCTTGTGTGATTGATTTTATTGCTAGAAGGGATCAGCATTTACCCTTAACAGAGTTTGCCTACTACAATAGTTACCATTCCAGTCTTCAGATGGCCCCATTTGAGGTGTTGTATGGCAGACGGTGTAGATCTTTGATCGGTTAGCTTGATTCAGTTGAGATTGTTTCTTTTGATACATACTTAGAGATACTACGGAGCATTTCTATATGATTCAGGAGAGACTATTGACAGCCTAGAGTCGACAGAATAGTTAAGCGAACCGAAGAGTTTGAGCCCTTGTGTTTAGGGAGGGTGAGCATGTTTGGCTTTAAGTGTCACCCATGAAGGGGGTGATGAGGTTCGGAAAGAAGGACAAGCTTAGCCCTAGATTCATTGGACCTTTTGAGATTTTGAACCGAGTGGGAGAGGTGGCTTATAAGTTGGTCTTGCCATCTAGCTTGTCAGTTGGTCATCCGGTGTTTTATGTATCCAACCTTCGAAAGTACGTGTTGGATGATTCCCACATGCTTTCTCTTGATTCAGTTGAATTGGGTCCGGACTTGTCTTTTGAGGAGGAGCCTAAAGCCATTTTTTATAGGCAGGTTCGAAATCTGAGAACCAAGGAGATTGCTTCAATGACGGTACAATGGAAGCACAGTTCAGTTGGTGAAACGACGTGGGAGACAGAGTCAGATATGTTTGCCAGATATCCTCATCTCTTCGAATCTTCAGGTATTTTCCTTTGCTTTATTTCGAGGGTGAACATGGTTTTTAGTGATAGATAATGTGATGACTCGGTTGGTCATTTTTGGTATTTTCGTGAAATTTACCGGTTTTACCTCCCGATATTGATCCCGAGTTATTTCTTAATTGAGTTTTAGAAGTTAGTTCCAAACCTTGAGTAAAAAGTTGAGAATTTGGTAAATTTTGAGTTTGAAAGGCTTAAGTTCCTTAAAAGTGGTTTCCGTATCTTTTAGAGTTTTGAGTGTCGGAATGAAATTCGGTCAATTCCATCAGTCCCAAAATGTGGAATCTCATTTGTGTGGGTTGTCGGCATCATATTCGGAGTCTTTTTGAGGATTTGAGGTCCCAAGTTATGAATATGTAGAAATTTAACCTTTGGATTGACTTTGGTCAAAATTCAAGGTTCAGATGCTCGGATTGGAATTTCGAGAGTTCTACTAGATTCGGGGAATGATTTTAGGCCTAGGGGTGGTCTTATTTGATTTTTGAGAAGTCCCGAGATTATTTTATCTTTTTAGGTGTTGTGTTAGTTTCGTGTAGTTTCCACGAATGTCAGGTCAAGGAGATCTCATATTCATATTTTGATAAGTCCATTGAGTCCGGAACTGCGAGTTAAGTTTATTTGCATATCTAGTTTGTGTGTACATGGTTTCGAATGAATTTCGAGGGTCCTTTCGATGTTTGAGACTTTGTTGTGTTTTAGGGTGCTGCAGGTCTCACTTTTGTGAAGGTCTTGTCACTTAAGTAACATTCGCTTAAGCGAAGGGCCTATTGCTAAAGCGACATTTGCTTAAGCGAAGGAGGCTTCAATTTTGTGAAGGCCGAGTCTTTAGCGCGGTTTGCTTTTGCCACATCAGAGAGGGGCTTTTGACCTGCAATTTTAGGGTTTTAGCCCAATTTTCCATTTTAAGCATGGAAAACCCTTGTCGGCGATTTGTGAAGGATTTTCTTAGGCTAAATCATTTGGGTAAGCTTTTACAACCCTAAAATTTCAATTCCTTTTGATTCTTTATAGATTATAACATCCTAATTTGAGGTTTGATTTGGAAAATGGCAAGGTTCTGCAAGAACATGAGTTTCAATCTAAAATAGTGATTTTGATTCATTTTTTGAAATGGTTTTCACTAATGAGTTCGGAAAGCCTTAAATATCATTTTTAAGTATTGGTTTTCAGATTCAATCCTTCTTTTTGAAATTGGGTATTAAAATGATTGACTAAGTTCTCTAAATAATTGATGTGGGTGTTGTTGTTTCCGAAGAGAGATTGTGAATACTTTATTGTTATAGATTTTGTAGCTTTGGAAGTGAGTTGGAAAGAGAAAACTCAAGCTTTGAATTGATTTATTTGTTACTTTAAGGCAAATGATCTCTTAAACTTTGCAATTTAGTAGATTTGTTTACTATTGTTCATTGTGTATGTGTTGGGGAGTAACCAGAAATAAGGTGAAGGGTTTAATTTCTCCAATTGATTAATGTTAACCAACAAAAAGGGGGGAAATGAAAATGCTTCTTGATAGTAATGATAAATTTTGAATTGCCTTGTTGTGGCCCCGATTTGATTGATTGGTGAATTGCTTGAATGCATGAAATTGGACATGAATTGTATGAATTTTTGTCTCTTCGTGTGGTGTGATATTATTTTGGGCATTAATTGTTGAACATCTTGATGAGACACTTGATAAATCCAAAGGAAAATTGTTCCATCTAGTGACATAAATGTCGAAGGAAAATGGTCCCGACAAGTGATATTTTGTGATAAAACCAAAGAAAAATGGTTCCGGCTAGTAATATGAATGTCGAAGAGAAATGGTTCTGAATAGTAATATAAATGCCAAAGAGAAATGATTCCAGAAAGTGATATTTTGTGATAAATCTGAAGGGAAATGATTTCGGCAAGTGTTAATTTGTGAAAGTCTAAGGAAAATAGTTTCGGCTAGTGACATTGTGCCGAAGGGAAATGGTTCCGGCAAATGTTGACCTTTGTGATCAATCTACTTGATGCTTATTTTTTACTTATTTGATGCATATGATTGAGGTAATTGATGCGTTTGACTGATTTATTTGACATGTGAATTGAACCTGTTAATATTTGTTATTGAAATGTTTTGTACTTGAGAGTAAATCATTTGATTCTTACCGATTGTTGAAGTGTGAGTTTTGGTCTATTATTTTTTAGCCTTGAGACTTGTGTATTGTAGAACTGTTAGGTTGGGCTGATTTCTATGCAAGTTGTATTCTGTGGAGGTTCGATTGGATGGAAGGAGTATTTGATTCTAGCTAGGTTGCCTAGTTTATTAGGTTGCTTGTTGGATGTCGTGTTGGTGGTACTCACTCCTTGCTTCTACACTTGTGTAGGTTTCGAGCCCGGACCCATATGATCTTCTTCTTCTTCTTCTGACTTCGAGGATCTTTGAACGACTTAAGAGGTAGCTGCTTGTCATCTCTACGGGCCCTCTTTTCTTTTTATTATGCTTTGTTCTATTTGAAAAGCAAAGACATTTGAGACTTGTATTTATATTTCGAGTTATTTATTTACATTAATGGTTTGTACACGTTACAATCAGATTTTGGGGTGTTGTTTAGAATGAATAAGTTTTCCGCCTATGTCTTGTTCTTGCTTTACTTTCTTTCGCTTTACATTAATTTTCATTGGATTGAGGCTTACTTGTCTTGGTGAGAATAGACAAGTGTCATCACGTCTATCTTTGGATAGTGACATTTAACTTCATCAAATTATATACAACAATTTCTATTCCATTTTTTTGAATCTTATTAAATAACAACGGTTTCATAGAGCAATAAGTCGCGTGGTTGTGCTGTTTGCTAATTATTTCATATAACGGAATATCATGACAAACATATAGAAAAACCATTATTATATAATAAGATTCTATTGTGTTATACATTGTTCTTCTGCTTCTAAATGAAATTACTATTGTATTTTGCATGATCCCTAGTTCCATCTATTGTAGAAAAACTAAAAAACAAACACAAAAAAATCAGGTAAACCCAACAAAGTTAATTGTTATTCAGAATAATATAGTTTACCCATACTTACTAACACTATCATATAATAAACTAATTTGATAGGAAAAAATATTAATATGCAATATTAAGTATACTTGACAAAGATACCAATAGTTTTTCAATGCTAATTAATAGATCATTAAGGTGAGTCATTAATACCTAAAAATAAATAAATAATATACATATAAAGGTATAATTAAGTAAATACATTCACATATATTACATTATTCATCACAAAAAAAAATTTATATTTACTGCATTCACATATATTACATTATTCATCAGAAAAAATTATATTTACTTTTATGTTGCAGCAAAACTTCGCAGAGAATAATAGTGAACAGGTGAAAAATTATGTTAAATCAACATTGTAAAGTAGATAATATAATTATTAGGATTTTCTATCAGAAATAATTACTATTTCTCTGCAAAATATAGATCATGAAATTAACAATGGTGTATTAGATTTTCTAAGGCAATTATATATTGATCAATTATTGGTGTAACTTCTACAAAAAATTTATATATAAGGCGGTAAAAAGAAGATTACAATTTTGTAAAGACAATGCAAAAGTCATTATATATATACTAGATAGGCCTGACCTGAGCTAGCACGGGCCCAACATGTAAGTTGTTGCATATTTGAATTTTATTCAAAAAGATGAAACGACGTAAAGGAAATTCGAACTGAGAAGCTAATGGAATATTAGCTTTCCAATTTAATTAGATATATTATACCATGAAATGCTCAAACTTGAAGCGAAAATATTCAGGAACCTTCACCAAAATGAGATACAAGTCACTTTCCGAAAGGAAAAGAAGTAAAGAAAATTGATGCATTTAAATTAATAGAGGAACAATTTAACTTTAATGATTCTCATGGTTTCTCTTTTCTCACCAACCATGAAACATAAGAGTCCCAATTCATGTTCTACCTTTGTACAATGAATCTTCTCAATGATTTTAGCAATTACAAATTTCATTTCCTCGTAGTTTTCTTCATTAAATATGCAAAGAATAGAATCAGAAAGAAATGTAACAAATTTTCAAATGTAATTAAATAACCCACCAGGATCTGGGGACCCTCGACAACCCATTTCTCGCTAAATTCCACTACTATACACACCTCCAAGATCGAAGTCTCTTGCACACCAAACTTGTATTCCTGAAAGTGCCAATGTTGTTAGGAAACAAGCTTTGACGTCTTTTCTCCTTAATTGAGGAGATAAATCAAGCTAAAGGTTTAGTTAGCAACTAATACGACATTTAATGTATGTTGCAGCTCACGCTAAAGTGATTTACTTTCTCCATTTAACAGTCTTTAGAAATAGAAAACCAATTTCCATTTCCTATCCTAATTTCTTTAGTAAAGAAAAAAAGCACTAAAAGAGTTCACAATTATAAAGATTTTTTCAATTCCCTGCATACTAATTCTACTACTATTGATATTTTTTCACTTCTATTTGTTGTTGCACCTACAATTATTTCACAGACCTTTGCCAACTTACCTGCAAACTGTACTGTGTCATCGTGTGAGAGTCTTCTGCTTCAATTGGATCCTTGTAGACCATTCGGGTAGGGCACATCACCTTCGCTGACGGAGCAGTCTCTCAGGAAACATTATAGCCAACAACCCTAAACACTATCAAAGGATAAGAAAGTGCATAAATTTGAAACACACCCTAAACACTATCAAGTCTATATCGCATGCTGGACAAATTAACTCGCAACACTCCCATCTCCTTTTTGTAGTTCATCTTGTATTCCTAAGATACTTCAAACAAAACTTTGAAGAACTTGGTAAGAAACAACAATGTTTAAAGAGTATTTTCAAAACTAGAAAATTAAAACTAGTAGAAAAAATAGATATAGAAACAGACTAGAAACAATATAAAAATATTTTTCTCAAAGAAAGAAAATCAAGCCCACTGAATGCACAGTGTCCCCTTAAGGAAATTATTTCCCTCAACTACCCGAGGTTAATGGAATATATCCTCCCAGGATAGAACGATCTTACTCACCGGTGCATCAGTACCTAAAACCATGTTGTCAGTGAACCACTCAACGGCAGTAAAGTACACTTAGAATACTAGATTTAGTAGTAGTAGAAGAAGTCTAAAAGAATTAGTTCAAGTAAATTGAGAGGAAATCCCTCAATTTACACAAAACAAAGGGTAGTGTGAAAAGGTTCTTATTGTGGCTTACCGGAAAGGTCACAAACCTTTGGAAAAGTCACAATCTTTCGGAAAGGTCACAACCTTTCAAAAAAGTCACAATTTTTCATAAAAGTCACCATTTTTCATAAAAGTAACAATTTTTCATAAAAGTCGCAATTTTTCATAA